CTGCGCCTAACACGCGCTGCCGGTTTAGTCTTTTTCCGTATAAAAAGACACCAGAGTTCGATTCTGGGGTATTCTATCCTGAAACCTAAGCAAGGATAAGTCTGCGCTTAACCCGCGCTGCCGGTTAGTTCTTAACCGTTAAAAAGAACACCCGTTCACATATTCGACATTGTGGCAGGGTGTTATTAATAACACCAAAATCCATGCCTTACACGCATGGGGAATTTCATCCTGAATCCTAAGAAAGGATATGCTGACGCCTAACACGCGTCACCGGTTTAGTCTTTCTCCGTAGAAAAAGACACCAGAGTTCGATTCTGGGGTATTTTATCCCTAAGCCTAAGTAGGGATAAGTCAGCGTCTAATACACATTGTCGGGTAGCCTATTCTCGTAACAAGGGCGAAGTCTACGTATTCGAAGTCGTAGCACCGAGTCTAAGAGAATTCACTCTCTTAGCACAACGTTACATGCGGAACGGATTTAGACAATCCGCATGCTAGCCCGACTCAAACGGTAATCGGTAAAGGCTAATCAAATTCGTGGAAGGCTGGGGGTTAGCCAAAAATCCTAAAGTCAACGCCTAACACGCGAAGTCTACGTATTCAATATCGTAGCACTAAGAGCGTTAACTCTCTTAGCACAACGTCACATGCGGAACGGATTTAGACAATCCGCATGCTAGTCCGACTCAAACGGTAGTCGGTAAAGGCTTATCAAACCCGTTGATGGCTGAGGGTTTGCCAAAAATCCTATATATGCAAAAGTCACTGATGCACCAGCCCCATTAGTTGGTCTCGTGACTTAGACATCCAACAAATTCGGGATAAGATCCACATGCACAAATGAATCAGCTTTAATAGTTGGTCCTGTAGCCCAATATTTAGGACCGCCATGCTCCAATACCTCAAGAGCTTAAACTGTGTAGACCCAAGGTTAATGCGTGGTAATGAAGGTCAACGCGTACCCCTAGGTCAACGCCAGTCAACGCGTTGCGATTAAACAGTCAACGTACGACGTTCGAAACCCTAGGGTCAACGCCGGTTAACACGTAACCCTAGGTCAACGCCTATCAATGCGTTGCAATGAAAGAATCAATACTCCGAAAAGTATACGAGTATAAACTGCTTCTTAATACTCCAATAAGGTATACGAGTATAAACTATTCTTTATTTTTGGTTGAGAAGTTTCTGGAGTTCTTAAGGATAACTCAACAACACTACGCCAGACAACGCGTCGCAAATAAAGACTCAACGCCAACGATCGATGGTCAGTTCTATGTTGAACCAACAAACACGAGCTAAAGATTAGAAAATCAGGAATCGACTTCAAGTTTAAAATTCCGACAACGGTCAGACAATAAATATAGCACCGGAACCCTTACAGACATTCGACAAAGCACCGAATAGCCTGAAGGATTGAAGGAATCAAGAATAGAAGCCGTTCAAAAGTCCCGTCATACCGGTTGAAGGTTAGGACAATCATATCCAAAGTATTCCAGACTCTTCTATAAAAGAACGATGCTGAAATACTTTGGAGGGGGTATCTGTAGGCGTATAAAACTGCCTATGGGTCCCTTAGCATAGCTCGACACGGTGATTCGACAAACCAACGAACCATTAGGCGACATATCCAAACACGACCGTTAGTCCACAATACTGAAGCCAAATCACACGCAACGAAGTGGATTAACGAGGCGACGAGGCTAACGAACCGCATGCAAACAATGGAATACATCCACTCGCATGCGGAATCAAGCTAACAGTTCGGTGAGTCAACGAGTCATCCAACCATAGAACGGATTTGAACTCAAACACCGAGGCAGATTTACTGCCATATTGGGATTCAGACTGTCAAATCAGAGTCCGGATCAACAACGAAGCTTGAAGACTTGCTTTTTCAGATCCGGTGCTTGGCGATCGTCCACGTCAAATAAGGCAGGAGTTCGAGAGGGATCGGATCTGAGATCTACGCGGTTATCCTCCGGATCAAAGCTTGGCCTTTGATCCCGAGAAGGCTATTATTTCCTTGGTGAAATAGTACCCCCCGGCTGTTATTTCCTTCGTGAGATAACACCCGCTATACCGTGTAGATCCGACCGGATCTAGATCACGCGGTAGTCCACAGATTAAGCCCGGCGCAGGCGAAGAACCCACAAAAGCGAGTGATCGCAAAACAAGAGCTCGTGATTCGTTCGAAAAAGGAAGGTTGTAATATTTTTTATTTTTTTCTTTGATTTTGTTGTAACCGGATCTTATAAAAAGACCAGATCTTTTGTAATCGGAAAATAGTTACTTGAGAGAACAATGAATTCAATGAAGAAAACTACGACTTTCACCGCGAACAGAGAATAACTCTTATAATAGCCACAGGTGAAGTTCGCTACTGTAATGTAGTAACGACCATGGGAAAAGTTCACTTGGAGAGCTTCACAAGGATGTGGGTGGCCCACATTCTTTGATAGGATTAACATGGACCATTAGGTTTTGGGTAAAGTTCGCTCAAGCGACCTTTGCTTAGAGCCTCAAACGGGCTTGGTTCAAATTGTTTTGGGTTTGGACTCACAGTGAAGTTCACATGAGACTTGAGTGAACTTACTGTAGCTTAGGTAAGTTTTATGGGCTGATTCAGTGTTAAGACCTTAGGCATCCACTTCTTGAGCATGTGTTAAGCTTGAATATAAGAATTGTACTTTCTACACAAAGCATTAGTCCAAGCCTCTCATGAATTAAGGGATCCACTTCTATGTTGGAGGGGCTTGTATATTTTAACAATCTATAAGACCCTTGCTTAATGTTTTTGAGATCCTGCATTTGACTTGTGGCAAGAATTGAACTACTTTGGGTAAAAGCTAAATGTGTACCATTAAATATATCTTTCGTTGTCGTAGCTTCATCTTGTGTTGTATGATTAGTTGTGTTTGCATGCCCTCTTCGTAAAGCGTTCACTCGATTTTGTGTTTGGAACGAGGTTTAATTGCCCTTGTATTAAGGCAACGTTTTGGGAATAACTTATGTCAAGTGAAGTTTACCATGAATTTGGCAAAGTTTGCCCAATTCTGCGCATTGAGCAAGGTTCGTGATAATCATATTTTATTACAATTTTATACCCTCATTATCTATTTTATATGAATAAATATACCACTAATAATTACTTTTATCTTTAATTATAGGTTAATGAAGAATAAGAGCCCAAACTCTCATCTCTCAACAAAAAGCCCTTGTTTTAATGAAGAAATGAAGCTCATAAAGCCAAAGGAATTCTTTCAAATATTTAAGAATCAAGTCCAATGGAAAATCAAGAGAAAATGCCAAGCCCAAAAGTCCAAGCCAAAGCCCAAGACACAAGCCCAAAAGCCAAATACAAGAGTTCTGCGGACAGCAACTAGAAGAAGGTAGACATCGATGCCCGTATCGATGCTTGCATCGATGCCCGTATCGATGCTTGTATCGATACACTAGGTAGTTAGTTACGAATCTAAGACTGAAATTTGTTGTTTTTGGATAAGATTTCAATCTAATGGCTCTCATTCACTGATGTTTACTATAAATAGGGGTAGAGAGTGAGGGGTTAGGGGTGTGAAAAATTTTGTAACTCTATTTGGAGAGGAGAGCTACTCTTAATTGAGAAGGCCTTCCAAAAATTATAACTTTTGTTGTAATTAATAATAATAATTTTTCTCCTCTTTAAATTTTCTTTTCTCCTCTTTGTTGAATGATGAGGATGTAGATGAAGAGCAATTTGAAGGTTTGCATTTCTTTTATTTTCCTTTTTTATTTCTTTTTTGTAATTTCTTTATTATTGCTTATTAGTTAGATTTACATTCATGCTTGTAGTGTAAATTTATTTTTTTTATTTCTTTTTGCACTTTAATTTGTAGAGTAGATTTATTTTCTTACATTTAATTTCTACAATTTATTTTGTAGTTTAGATTTTTATTCTTTGTAGTTAGATTTATTTCTTGTTCATAGTTTAGATTTTGTTTTCTTTTTATTTTTGTAATTAGTTCTTTTTCTTCTTGTTTTTATTTTTTAAGATGAGAAATTAATTCTTGTAGGAATCTTAGAATTGCATAAAACTAGTCTAAATTCCTTTATATTGTATGAATTATTCTCTTTCACTTAAAATGTTCATGTTTAGGATAATCAACTAGAGAACTAATCGGTAGAAGAAGAATTTGATAATCTATACTTATCTTAAATGGTTTGATAGGTTATGCTTATGAATTCTAGGATTATTATCTTATTGTTGTTCTTATCATGAATAGTAATTTTAACTTAGATGATAATTTGATAGGTTATACCTTCCTTAAATGGTTTGATAGTCTATGCTTAATAAATCTAAGTTGAATTATGATAAAAAAAGTATAGTTTGTATTTTGTAATTAAAATTAGCTAGTGGATTACATTCTAGATTTCTTACATCTTTTGAATCCTCCATCTTAACTTTCTTAAATTTTCTTTTCATTCTTGGTTTCCATCTTAACTTTCTTAAATTTTCTTTTCATTCTTGGTTTTATTTCTTGATTTTATTCATTCTTCTTTCTTGCCTTGTGATTTTATTTATTCTTTGATTCTTTCTTCTCTAAAATTTAATTTATTATCTCTTGCATATATTCACAAAAATCACTCATCATATCTCTCTCCATAATCACACTTATTCTTTATTTCTAATTGTCACGCACAAAACATAAGAACCAATTCTAATAATCTCTTAAAATCACCTTCCTCGTGGGATCGATAATTTTTATACTATAACTTGATCAATTGTGCACTTGCAATTTTGGTACATAATTATGCCGTATCAGTTCGCTAGGTAGTTAGCGAAGGTCGCTAAGACCATTTTAGATTTTAAAGTTTTTGCCTTGATTTGTGTCAAGGATCACTCTTGTGCAAGATTGGGGCCCAAATCTTGGGTGTGATTCATTAAAAAGCCTATAAATAGGCTAACTCTCTAACGTCTAAGTAATCTAATCACCTTCCTTGTAAAGAGTGATCTTGGACAAAACTCGCTGAAGCTTATAAATACCTCAACCTTCTAGTTTTTACCTTCTAATATCTTCATCCAAAGCTAATCCCCGGTGTCTCTCAATAGTATGGAGTCAGAGATTGAGATGTTCAGGAAGGACTTAGTCCAGACTACTAGTGATTCTGTGGAGGAGAACAAGGTACTCTGTTAGCTAGTGGAGGTGCTATTGGCTAAGCAGTTGAACCTTAAGCAAGTTATCAAGAACCAATCGAAGGCATGGCATGAGGTGAACGACAAGAAAAATTAGTGGCATCTTGAGCACATGACTTTGGGATAGACCATTCGGAGGCTTCGATGGCTCATTAAGAAGGATCATTAGATCTCCACAAGTGAAGATTTGGAGAGTGAGTGATCATCTTTTTGTATTGGACATGCCCGCCTTTTCTCTTGTTTTACTTTTGTTCTTTGCTCCCTTTGTTGCTTCAAAAGTGATCTGTTAGAGAGCTCATCATTAATGGAAAATGTTATCTGCTTTAACATTGTTTCTCCTTTCACCTTGGTTTCTGGGTATTCTGCCTCCGCCTTGTACATTTTTATGAAATTATGAAAGTCGTTCAATCCATGCTTGAAGAGAAGTTCACTTAGTCTTGGACTAAGGCAAAGTTCGGGACTCATGATTAGGCGAGGATCGTCAAATGAGATTCACCAAGTGATGTTTGCCATGAATTTGGTGAAGTTCACTCAATTTTGAGAGTTGGACAAGGGTCACTTGGTGGTTAGCGAGGGTCCCTAAATATTAAAAGCTAGGCAAGGTTCACTAGGCAGTTGGTGAGGGTCTTTGAAACTATTTTAAAATTTAAAATTTGTTCTTTAATTTGGAGAAAGGATTGCTCCTGAGTGAGATTTGTGGTGAGTATCACTCTTAGGTGAGATTTGTGGCAACGCTTACTCTTGGGCGATATTTGCTAATAACTATAAATAGGATAATCTTATCTCTTCCCCTATAAGTGAACTTTACACTTCAGATGAAGTTCATTATTTTAGCCTGTTGGACTTTTTAGCGAAGTTCACCATTCAAGAGAAATTTGCTATTTAGATTTTTGGGTTCCTGGGCAAACTTTGCCATGGGTTTGAAGTTCGCTAGTGCAAACTTCACTAGGGTTAGCTCCTGCGAACCTTGCCAAGGACTAATCCCAACACTTAGTTGTACTTGTCTTTATCTTGAGGTGACTCTCGCTTAAGATGACTTCTCAACTAGGTGATTTTGATAATTATTCAATTTTGGTTCCATATTGTTTGACCTTCATTATGAGAGAATCCCTCGCTTAGTTAAATATGAGCTTTAGTTAGCTTTCAACTATTGGATAAAATTCAACATTTGATTGAATTCTAATTTTGAAATTGACTTAGTTGACTGATCAAATTGATTACTTAGTCAACTTTGAAATTGACTTAATTGATTTTGGATTCTTGATCTAAATCTTTTTCTTTTCTTGTGCAGTTCCTCTGATGGATACGCCTATAAACTGTTTGAACTACTTTGGCCACATGGGACACTAGACCCAGAATTGTCCTACATCTTTAGGGGCAGCATTCCTTTGTTTTTGGAAGGAAGTAACCGGATCTGCGCAGGCAACATTAGGTGTGGTAGTTCTTCTACATTTTGAAAGATTATCACCGATGCCAAATTCTTTATCTCTAAGGAAGATAAGTCCAGGAAAATGTCTTACCATTTTAGTGACGCAAGCAACCAGTTATTCAGTCTCAGGAAGGAGAGGTGGTGTCATGCTGTTGGTGAGGGATGTTTCTATTTGCTAAAAATAGAGCGTCAAGTGTCTTTTTTATACATACAGCATACAACGGTCCCTCAAGTGATGAATTTCCTAATCACCTGTGATAAAAAGTAGCATGAGGGTGGGGCAGATTAAGTGAGAGGGTGGTTTTTCAAGGATGGAGTATATAGATGTAACATTATAGGCCTTTATCCTAACTTATCTACGAAAGTAATCTGGTAAATGAGACACTAGTGGTCACTAATATTTTTAGTAACAAGTTTGTTAAAATTAAGGGCTAGTATCCGGAGGACGAGCCTAGATTCCTAGGTTGGATAAAGTCTCCAGCATCGAAGTGGTGGGCAAGGATAACAAAACTCCTCCTTCAGACTTTAGAGGAGAGATTGAGAATGTTGGGGCTCTATTGTATCATAGGAGCTTCTCAATACGGTGTCGATATTTGCCTATTGCATTTTATAGTTTTTTTGGAGCTATACGACATGCACGCCAACACTTTCTTCACTCTAGTAGGAGAGTCAGAGTTGCTTTGCATGAGATGGTTGAGATGTCTCTATTGCCGATGGGGGAGTAATCATATATAGAGTTCTTTCCCAATTATTATGAACTAAGGATGAGAAGTGCTTTTATCTATGAAAATTTGAGTGAACTGGTGTGCTACTATTGTATCTACCACTAGACAATCCCCATGCTACTCACTGTCCACACGTTGGTCGCAAGCTCTGGGCTAACTATTTTTTTAAGAGCTTGGAAAAGAAGGAGGACATTGAAGCTCTTCGAGTGAGTTCCAACGATGAAGTGGAATGAAGGATGTTTAAGCATGGTCCAGTAATTCAAATGTCGAATCATATGAATGAGGTTTTAGTGTGGGTGACACATTCAAGAGCTTACACCATCAAGCTATAGAGCCTATTTCTAAACAAGTTCTACTTGGTGGCTTACTTCTATTTGGCTGAAGGGATGCATAATGTTGTCTTGGTCGAAATATGTGATCTCCATCAAAGTTTTGTATCCGACAGTGCTATTAGCCTATGGGTTTAGCCTTGCTTTTCTCCTAGCTATGATCAACTACCTTCACAATTGGTTAAGAGCTTTGATAGGAGAGCATTTAGAATAGGAAAAAGATCAGTCAAATGATCAAGTGCCCAACCTAAGGGTAGAAGTGGCATACACCTACCTGATGACGTGGTATACAATTCACTGCTCGTCACTTATGATGGCTGCCACTAGATGTGAAGAAGGACTCTCACTACTACAATAATACGAGACTTCTAAGTGGAGAGTGAAGCATGTTGTAAGGATTCTTCGGATGGTTCATAATAAGGATCAATACTGACTCTACTATGCTTTCTCAAATTCACTAGTATTGGCGATGTATTTGAGGATAGTCCTAGCATTGAAGGATTCACTACTCGACGAGTGGTTGCTCCAGGTGGTTGGTCAACATTAGATTTACACTTCTCGTCTTCTAGAGTAGGTTGTTGACCCTATAATTTTGATGATGATTTGGCAAACAATTTATTACTAATAAGTTTTCTAGTGTTTTGTGTTTATGCTCTCTTTTCAGGTATTTCAACACACTTCAATCAAGTGTTAAAGATTCAAGTTCATTTGCGTGGATGTACCTAGGTATATGTTTAGTTTACTTACATATATTGTACGATTATATCTAAGCTCAATATATGTACACTTAACACGTTTTTTGACGTTTTCTATTATATAAATGATTTTTCATCAAACGTTGTTACAATAACTTTTATCTCATGTTTACAGCTCTTTCGTTCTTCATTATATACATATAATATATGCACAATATATATATATGCACAATATATATATATATGCATATTTACAAGTTCTATATCAACTTTCACTTTCATAATAAAACAGGTTTTCTAAGCATTTTTCAAAAACAGGTAGTTTTCATAAACGAAAATTGATTTTTCAAAAATTCCTTTTTAAACATGTTTATTTTATCATTTAGAAACTTTCCCCAAAGTTTCACTATTTTTGGATGTGATTTGATATTTTTAACGAATTTTCAAAACTGCCCCAAAACCTGTCAGTTTGCCTATATCAGTTTTCGGTCGACCGATCCGGTCGACCGACAGTGGTTTGTTGAGTTCATACTCACGGTCGACCGCACCGATCGACCGAGAGAATTTCCGGTCGACCGAATATTCCGTCGGTCGACCGCCAGCTCTAAACCCTCATTACCTGAGTTTTTGAACTTAGCGGTCGACCGGACCGGTCGACCGCCGTGGTGTCAGAACCTGTGTAATGGCTAGTTTTTCGTTTTCAAACTGGGTTTTTGGTCTTTTACCTATTTTTTACTGTTGTATTGAGATGCTATATATATCCCATTGCTGTTCTTCCTCTCTACAACTAAGAAATCCAAGTTTGGTGGTTTACAAAATATTAAGTGTGTTTAAGAGCTGTTTAATAGTTGATTTCATCAATCAGTTTTTCAAGAGGAGTTTTTTCTACAACAAGAAGTGGCATTCAATCCTATTGGAATCATCTCTACTGTTCTTCTTGTTTGAGAAGTCTTCTAAACTCTTTTATAGCTTATTATTTCATTTTCACTTCTTTTAGCTATATCTATTGAGTTTGATTCACTGTTATCACACACACTTATTGAGCCTAATATTCTCATACCATATAGTGTGGGTTGTGGGGTGTGATTTAGTGAGTGTGAGCTTTATTGTGTTCTCACTTGTTAATTGAGAACAAATCATTGTATTTAACTTGTTATTTGTGAGAATCACTTGTAATACACTTGTACACTGAGAGAAGTGTGAGGCGAGACACGGGGTCAAATCCAATAGGAGTGGCATCGATTGACGAACCTAGGAAGAGGTTGTAATCGAGCACTTGAGGAGGAGGACACGGTGTAGGTTCCTACACTTAGTGTGTAAAGTGTGATTGCATAGTGATTGTATTGTGAGGTGTAAACGTTGTTCGGGTGAACGTAGAAAACCTGATAGTGATAGTGGATATCTCCTCGAGGTGAGGAGCGGGGACGTAGGTGGTGGTGACCGAACCTCGTAAACATATTGTGTGTTTGTGTTTTGCTTAGCGTACTCTTATTCATCTTTATTGTTCATATTCATATCTTACAAGATCAAATTAATTAATATAATTTTAATTAGCATTTAATTAGGATTAGATTAGCATAAGACCCTAATCACCCCCCCTCTAGGGTCTAACATAGGTATGAATGCTATATTGAGCCCTATTTTCCCCGCCACTTTACTTATCAGTTTTGGTACAATCAGCTTTACATAGACAATCCAAACACCAGATTGTTGTATTCGAGGAGTTTAGTGGATGGAGCCTGCACTTGGTATTATTTTATTGCCGGAAGCACTGGTTCAAGGTTTACTCTGCAACAAAAAACTCCTAATAGTTATACGACTTTACGATTTTGTAAATGGTGTAAATGTCATCAATGCACACTTCAAGATTAGAAAGATGGGTATGAAGTGGATTATCAAGTGGTTCAAGGAGCTTGCTAAGAAAATATCTAAGAGTAGAGCACTGGGGCTCAGTGAATTCCTCAAAGATGTGCAATGAGGAGAATATATGGATGACGAGGATAAGTCATATGTGCCTGTCGAGCAATCGCCTCTGCCTAGACTAACCAACGTATGTATAAGGGAGCCATCACCTCAGGGTGATGAAGTAGATAGAGATATCCATTGAAAGAGGACACAACAACCCCAACACTCTCAAACTCTATCCAAACAGCTATGATTGGAATAGCCTATGAGGGAGGAACCTCCTGAGGCTGCAACACAAGGACCATTGGTCACAGAGTCGGCTGCTTTATGTAAGTCTTATCTTATATGGCCATTTCTTTTTGACGAACCATAATTCTAAGTTCATCTATTTTCTTTCTGTTCACATGCATCTATACCATTAGATTGGTTGATATCTGAAGATGGGGGAGATGGTCAATTATGACACTAATACTTACATCAAGGACCTCGGTGATTTTGATCGTGAAGACGATTTGAGCACGTTAGTCCAAGCTTCAGGCAAGACCTCGTGCACTAAGAAGAATGTCGTTACTTTGATGACTAATATTTCATCTATTTCCTTTCTCTACAGTGTTGAGATTGAGCCAGGAGTGATCATGGCTTATGAGCCTATGCCAACCATTGAACCTTTGTTGATATGATGACTTCCGAGTCGTGTAATGCTTTGTTTGGGAGTTTACTAAGGGAAGAGACGAAAAGTTAAATAATAGAAAGAAAAGATAGGGAATGAAAGTGAAAATATAAAATGTTGTTTGGGAGTTTAGTAAGGGGAGCAGAAGTAAATTTGTTTTACCTTATTTGGAAGTTCTAATAAAGAGGAGGAAAGTGAACTTAATATGTATAAAGTTACATAAATACCCTTACATATTGGATGAGAGTATATCTTAGCCATCAATTTTAATGAATGAATATATATAAAGTTACATAAATACCCTTACATATTGGATGAGAGTATATCTTAGCCATTATTTTAATATCATAAGGGTAAAATTGTCTTATCACATTATAAAATTTTACATTGGTTCCTATTTCATCCTCTATTCCCAAATTGGAGGGGATAAAAATGGAAGGAAATTTAAGCTTGTATTCCATCCTCTAATGCCTCAAAAGAACTCCTAAACAAGGTGAAATTAAAATTTTACTTTAACTTCTATCTATTAACCTCCATCCAAACAATGTGCAAGGAAGTTGAGGCTAAAATTGAGGGTAGACCTATGCTGCAAGTAGATACAAGAGCTAGGGTTGAGATACCAATTGAAGTTGAATCTAGAACTAATGTCGCAAGGGGTGAGCCCGTGATTGCTGACACGACATCAACAATGATCGTACGACTTTCCAGGCCTTTTCTCATATCAGCTCAAACCTTTTTTTCAACTGCTGAGTCTACAGTATTGTATATTTTAGCTATCCTTGTTCACTTCTTGCTACTAGCTAAGGGCTAACCTTTAATGACTTTGATTGATCAGACTAGCACAACTAATGCTTTGGACATTTTGACTAAAGCTAGTTTGTTAAGGCATAAATTGGTTAAAGTTTATTTGTCTCCAGATTTTGATGACTACACTAAATTAGATATTCAAATGATGGTCAAGAGTTTGAGGAAGTTATTGATCAGAGCATTTAGAAGGCTCTCACTGATGATAAGAGTCTAGCTACTTGATTCAAATGCTTATTGTGAAGTCACCCTAACACTCTTGTGCTAGCAGTCAGAGAGAAGCGTGCAGAACCTTATCATCAGATGATAGAACAAGAAGAGCTACAATTGATCTACAATATATTTAAGAAGTTCATGATACTGCTATTGTAGATTTAGAGTTTAGGCGACTTTCAGAGAAGTTCTATATTCTTGAGAAGATCGATCAATAAGAGATCAAAGGGCACAATCAGAGTGCATGGTAGTTGACTTTCTTCCTTGAGGCCTTGGATGATGGGTGCGCAAATATTAGTAGTATCTATCCAACATGCTATTGTAGGTTGTCTAAAAATAACTGTAGATAGCTAATCCCCATCAAACACCAACGATGAAAGTTACAATTTGACGACTTTCATATCTTCCATGAGCTAAGACGAATATTAAAGATGATGATCTTTGCAACGCTATAGCAAAAGAGACTACAAATTGACGGTCTCTTCAAATCAAGACGCAGAGCTCACCTCTGCATCTCAGACTCAAAACACAAAGGCCCTCCGTGCGTTACAACCTCAAAACGTAGAGGTCCTCCCTGTGTTACAACCTCAAAATGTAGAGGTCATCCCAACATTACACCATCAAAACGTAGAGGTCATCCCTGTGTTACAACATCAAAACGCAGAGGTTATGCCCGCGTTTCAAAGTCAAAATGCAGATGTCATCCCTAACGCTCCAATTAAAAATGCAGAGTTCATGGACTCAAAACGCGAAGTTCATCTCTACGTCTCAACTCTGCGTTTCAGGTTTACAACGCTATCCGAACACGATGTTTTTAGTCAAAAACAGGCCTAACTCTGTGTTTCAACTCTAAAATACAGAGTTTGGACCCAGAACGCCCAGACTGGCATTTGACTTGTTCAAAGTATGAACTGAACGGTTTCAAAACCGTTTTTCCCATGATTTGGGGAGCAATTTAAGGGGGAGGTTACACCCTATTCAGCCCCACTTAGGAGCGAATTAAGGGGGCGGTTGCACCCCTTTAATCGCCTATAAATAGAAGTAAACTTAACTGAGTTCGGGTCCAGGGGGTTTTGGCCAAAAAACATGAGCTTTAGAGATAAAAAACATGAGCTTTCTTCATCCTTAGCTTACAAACCAATTTTTATTAAATCAACTCTTTCATAGAGTTTCAAACTCGTTCAGAGTTATCAACTCATCAAGAGTTCTTTAAAACATACCACACAAGTTCTCCATAACGTCAAATCGTGAGGAAAAGACCACGTTCTAGTGAAACAAGATGTTCAGATCATCAACAAGAAGCAAAATTAATGCGAGCATTCGAGGGAGGCATCTCATCGCCACCGTGAAAAACCCATACTTAAACAAAGGGGAGAATTCAGATCAATTCTCTTCGCTTTTGTAATCAGGAAATCTAAATTTTTATTGAGATTGAGAGAGTTGTAAACATTTTTTTACTAAGCAGTTAGAGAGAATAAAATCAAACATAGTTCTTTCATTTTTATTTCACAAATTTTTCACAAACAAAAGATGGTGACTCTGCTGGGAAAGATTGTGATTTGAACAATTTTGATGACCTATCATCCTATTGAAGAGGATTGATAAGTGGATTGTCAGACCTATCATTATTGATGAAGTTAAAGACACCATAGCTGAAGCACAAGCTAGGTTAGAGAAGGCTCAGAAGCGAAAGTAGGAGCTGGAGGCCAAGTTCGGGGAGTTAGTTGATGACAAGTTTCAAAGAGTGAAGCAGTTGAGGATAGAACTCGAATGCATGTAGCCAAGGCTCAAGCAATTCAAGTGGATCGTGAGGCTTTAAGGCAGAAAGCTTTGAAGAAGGCAACAGAAGTACGGGATGTTGGAATAGCTAAACTGATAGAGAAAATCGATTTTTTACATCACCACTAATTTTGCCCATCTCTTTGCTAAAATTTTAAAATTCTGAAATAAATTTTTTATAATAGCTTAGTTCACCCTTTTTTATGACAGATCATTAAAGAGTTTGATTTCTGGTTAGAGAATTAGTTTGAATTGTGATAGAATTTTAAGATTGAACGATAGAGGTATAATATTAATATATTGGACAAGATCCAGAATAATAAATGACTCTAGTAGGGCGGATGGAATGACTAAGTTGTGAGATTCAACTCATCATAAGATCTATTTCAAGACATTATCTCGCTATAATAGAGGTTGACGGAGTAGACTGACAAAGGTATAGTGTTAACCGGTCGAGTCTAAAGTTTGATTATGTACTATTTAGAGGTGCAGTGTTAACATGACAACATAGAAAGTTGATAGAAGTGTAATGTTAACATGTCAAGGCAGAGGACAAACTACCATTTTCAAAGTGTGAAGTTCACTTATGGAAAGAAAGATCGACAAAGGTGTAATATTAAATGGTCAATTAAAGAAAGAAACGACATAATAGAGGTGTAATGTTAACTAATCAAGTTCGAAGAGAGATTGTTAATGTTAACCAATCAATCTCCAAAGGGAAAATCAATAGATGTGTGATGTTAACTAGTCAACTTATGAGAGTGTAAACTTTTCAAAGGTGTAATGTTAATATGACAGTAGCTAATGATATTTGGAGTCGAACAGTGACGTGATATTAACTTGATGACTCATTGGGGAATTTGTATTAAGATCAAACTAACTTGATCAATGACTTTGGTTGAAAAATTATTTTCATAGTCACAGTGGAAGCTTTAACGTGACCAGTAGCTCAAAGGGGAGATGGGAGTAGCTAAATTCAAGGGTAATATTCCTTAATAAATTTTTAGTTAATTGGTGTCATTAACATGTCACCATTTAGGTGAATCAGGTGATATGCTCTCTTTGAGTAGACTGTTTCTACTATAATTGAGCCTTCCCAATTGGGCTAAAACTTGCCTTTAATCTTATGTATCATGACCATGGTCGATGATCAACCAAGACCAAGTCTCCTTCTTTTAAAGATCATTTCTTGACATTTTTGTTGAAAGCTCTTGATATTCGAGACTGGTAGATCTTGATCCACTGTTGAGTCTTAAGTCTCAACTAATCTAGCACTTCTAGTTCATGAAGATGCTTTTTATGATGCTCTTTAGTTGTTATCTTTTTCGCTAGGGAGGTTCACAATGATCAAATATGGATCTAAGGGTACTATGGCTTCATTGCAAAAGAAAGTGGGTTGCCCCATAGGAGTGCTTGCCATTGTTCAATAGTCCTAAAGACATTACCTGAGTCTCTCATCCTAATCTTATTTGTTGAAAGATTCAAAATTTTTTGAGAAGTTTGATGATTGTCTTTTTGAATGCTTTGGCCAGATCATTAGCAGCTAGGTTGCATAATGTAGAAGTCACATCTTAAATTCTAACTTATTACAAAATTTTAAGAATGGTCAACTGATGAATTTTGATGATTAATATCATGGAAAATCTTCTAGGGAATGCCAAATTGATAAATGACATTATGTTTCAGGAATTTAACAACGTTGGATATTTTGACTTTTTTGAGTAGGCTAGTTTCAGCCTATTTGAAGAAA